AGACAACTGTGTAACCACAACAAATGAACTCTTGGAAGTCCATGTTGATGCTTAAAGAAGTTGATACAGAATCATCAGAATAGGAAGAGCCCTTAGAAATAGCCAAGTTAATCATACTTTTGGATGCTCAGTATCAGTTTTGGAGCTTGGTAATGTAGATCCTGAGGCCTCAAATCTCAACTGCCCGTTCAGCCACACCAGAGCCCAAGCTTCATTCCCATGCTTGGCTCTCCAAGGCCAGCTCTTTTCCACCTCATTATCCAGTTGGGTGTCTGAGATATCAGCAGATTTATTATGGCTGCCCTTATAGAAGTTTAACTACAGGGACTCTTATAGTCTCCTGGGATCCTGACCAGGAGGAATTCAAATGAATAATATAAAAACCTGAGAGTTTACTGCTGGAAGAATCAAGCTTTGCTAATTCTAGCTACTTTTCCCTTGCCAGCCTCCCTGCTTGCTAAAATGATTGTCAGAGAAAGGAGGTGTCAAAGAAATAAATTCACCAGAAGCAGTTCAACAGACAAGGAAGTCGTGTGTGTGTGTGTGTGTGTGTGTGTTGTTTGTTTGCTTGTTTGTTTGTTTTTTAAGCAGCTGGTGAGCTCGTGGAAAACTACTGGAGGGCATTGGGATAGAGTTTGGTCAATGTGGTTACACCATCACTTTCTGCTAATTGGTGCTTAATTGAAGTTAGGCTCCTGCCCACTCACAGAGACTGCAAGGTAATATGCCTATCTTCCCTGATGATCATATTTCAAAGGGAGAGTTCCTGTCCTTGACAAAGACATTCTTGGGTTATAAAACTGGCAAGGAAGGCTTTACATTTTAAAGGGCAGAGAAAACATTTATAATTCCAAGTGTTCTAAAGCAAATGCTTGAAGAAAATGGAAGTCAGGGGCCTCTTGTCAAAGGGAAACTTGTCTGAAGTTGAGTAACGCTGAGGGAATGCTAAGGCAGTCTTGGTCACAGAGAACATCTATGAGGGGACAGCTGGCTAGGATCATATTTGTTTGGAAATCAGAAAAAAAAAAGATCTTATCTTCTTGGACTTGTATTAATAATAGTACCATATTGTCATCAATTTCATTGATTTAAATGGTTGAGTAGACCAATGTATTTTTTGCACAGTTAACTCCTTATCAATTACATCTGTCATAGGCCATGTAAAAGCAGACTGTGGGAAGCCAACTCTACAACAGAAATTTGCATGCAGGAAATTTACTGGGGAGTGTTCTCAGGATGAAACTCTGAAGGGAAGTGAAGAAAACAGAGTTGGTCAGAAGGAGAGGTAGAAATGTGATGCCATCTCAATGAAAGTCTCAGGCAACACTGTGGTGAGTTTTAGAAGAAGGCTCTGCATAGTTGTACCTTATTAGAATGAGGTATCTAGGTCTTTATATACTTACTTGGTGAGTCATTGCATGTGAACTCTCCCCATAAACCTCCCTCCCTGGAAGGGAACATGGTCTTGGGTGACTGCCCTCTTCAGCTGAGGGCAATCACTGGCATGGGGAACTGGTCTGCAAGCTGATCATCCAATTTAAAGCATCCCATTCAGATTCTCCTTATCACAATTATAAAGGATGCCTTGTAATTTTTACATGAATCATCCCTGAAACTATCATGTTTATTTGTACAAATGTTTGTTGTGTCTCTCCTTCCATCTAGGATGTAAGGTCTGTGAAGATAACACTTGTGTTTTATTTATCTCTGTATTCCCATCACTTGGTATGGTTTGTGGGTTATAGTAAATAGTAATATTTGCTAAATCAATCAATCAATATGTTGAATTTTTGTGTATAAACAATTTGAAAGCTCTGAGAAATTTTTGATCCTACCTCCATAAGAAGCTCATTGCTGAAAAGCTCGGATTCTGAAGAAGTCCAACTCCTGAAGCAAACATCCTTTGAATCCTTTAGGGAATTCCCATCATTAGGGCATAGATTTTTTTTTTTTTTTGCTTTTTTTTCCTCTGTGACACTTAAAACACTATCTGACATTTAGTTGATATTTTGTAAGTATTTATTTAATGACTAAAATGGTTGAAATAGTAAATTAATCAGTCTTAATTCTGCCTCTTGGAGCCACATGAAATGAATCTGAAACTTTTCCTAATAGTAGCCATTTAGTTTCTGAAACTACCTTCCCACTTAATCTCTCCAAAGCAATGACTCTGACATCTTTTCATCATTTCTCAGATGACCAGTTTCCAAACTCCTTCAACATCATGGCCTGTTTTCTACAGACTAATTTCTAGTTCCCTCTACAACTAAGATAGAAGTTCCTTGAGAGCAGAGGCTATGCCCTATCCTTCTAATTCCCACCCTACCTAGTGTAGCACTTCACTTGCCTGCATTTAGGAGGTACATAATAAACATTTGCAAATGAAGTTGCTAGCCACTTCCGAGATTGCAAGTTGATAAAGTTTAGCTAAGCTGATTAAATTGCCATGACTAAACTTCTTTTCCTTCCCTTCTTCATTCTTTAGAGAACTTTTTTTTTTTTCATTTTTGTCTCTTTTTTTCTGTGTAACTTAACCCAAGGAATTATTCCTCCCTTCCAGGATCTAATTAAAGTTTTCCAGGGGCACCTGGGTGGTTCAGTCAGTTGAGCATCCGACTTTGGTTCAGGTCATGATCTCATGGTTGGTAAGTTCGAGCCCCATGTCTGGCTTGTGCTGGCAGCTCAGAGCCTGGAGCCTGCTTTGGATTCTGTGTCTCCCTTTCTCTGCCCCTCCCCTGCTCACACTCTGTCTCTCTCTCCCTCTCAAAAATAAATAAACATTTTAAAAAGTCAATAATTATAACTGCCAGGAAACACACCATGCCTTAGACTCTAATAGAAAGCACTTTCTTAAAAGCAAGGTGACTCTGTCTACAAATATTTCAGTTTTATATATTAAGTGATAAAATCCATAATAAAATAAGAATCAAAGGATAGAGTTAGAGAATATGGGTGCAAGAACATGAATTTGTTGCAAATAAGGTGTAAATAAAACAGAAGAATATCGTCTGGAGAAAGTTAGAATCTACAGCCTTATTAATACTCTCCATATTTAATGAAAATGGCCTCCAACAAGGCAGAAATAATTTGCACAATTCATTAGTCCATAGAGATCTACCATCTATCAGCTGTGCATGACCCATAATTCCCACTAAAATTTTATTTCCCTAGTCCCTCTTTTTGTCTGGACAGTAGTTTACACTGACATTGTATTAGAAACTATGTTTAGTACCAGACATCCAGTGGAAGATCTCAGGTATATATTGTCTTGGAGTAGTACCAACCCTTCATTTATCGGGTGCCCACTCAATGCCCAGAATTTTGGATGATGGCTCACTAAACTCACACAACATTCTCTGTAAATAATGATTAGCTTTCCATTTCATAGAAGATGCTATTGACTCTAAGGATATAAGGAATAACGTTGATAATATCCTCTAAAATGCATTGTTTTGGTGAGGATGTGGAGAAAGGTAACTCTCTAGCACTGCTGGTGGGAATGTAAACTTGTGCAGCCACTCTGGAAAACATTATGGAGGCTCATAAAAACTTTAAAATAGAACTACCCTACAGCCCAGCAATTACACCACTAGGCATTTACCCAAAGAAAACAAAAATAGTAATGTAAGGGATACGTGCACCCCAATGTTTATAGCAGCGTATCTATAATACCCAGGGGCACTGGGTGGCTCAGTCGGTTGAGCGTCCGACTTCGGCTAAGGTCATGATCTCATGGTTCGTGGGTTCAAGCCCCACGTCGGGCTCTGTGCTGACAGCTCAGAGCCTGAAGCCTGCTTTGGATTCTGTGTCTCCCTCTCTCTCTGCTTGTGCTCTGTCTCTCTCTCTCCTTCAAAAATAAATAAGAACATTAAAAAAAATTTATAATAACCAAATTATGGAAACAGCCTAAGTTTCCATTGACTGATGAATGGATAAAGGAGATTACGGTATAAGATTTTAAACACAAGCACACACACACACACACACACACACACACACACACACACACACAATGGAATATTACTCAGCCATAAAAAATAATGAAATCTTGCCATTTGCAATGACATGGATAGAGCTAGAGAGTATTATGCTAAGTGAAATAAGTCAGTCAGGGAAAGACAACTGCCATAAAATTTAACTCATATGTAGAATTTAAGAAACACAACAAATGAACAAAGGGGGAAAAAGTGAGAGACAAATCAAGAAACAGACTCTTAACTATAGAGAATAAACTGAGGGTTACCAGAGGGGAGACTGGTGGAGGGATGGGTTAAATAGGTGATGGGATGAGGGACAGCACTTGTTGTGATGAGCACTGGGTGTTGTATGGAAGTGTTCAGTTACTATATTGTATATCTGAAATGAACGGGAATTTAAATAAATCTTTACAAAAATAAAATGCATTGATTTTTTTTATGATATAGAAGACCCTTACATACACTATTTCAGTCACTCTTATGGCCATCCTATTAAGATGAAGAAGATCAGAGAGGTTAGGAGACTTTCCCAAAGCCACGGATGCAGAACTTAGGAATGGTAGAATTTAATCTACCACAAAACCCATGTTTTAAACCCTGACCTGTGATGAAGGGCAAACTGAGGCTTAGTGAGGTGAACTGATGGGCCCAGGATCACACACCTGATAAGTAAAAGAAGAAGTAACCCAGTATGTCTGACTCTAAAATGCATGTTCTTACCATTAAACATAAGATTGATTTCCTCAGTGTTTGAGCTGGGGGTGGAGAATATCTTGACTTGGGCCTAAACTGCTCCAGGACAGAGCCAGCCTTGTCCCTCAGGTAGTTGAGGAGATAGACAGTGCTGCACCTTGCCCATTTGCTCCTACACACCAGGGTAACTTTCCTTCTCTTTGCCAGCAATACTATATTGTTCCTCTTCTTTCTATTCCTTCTGCAAAACCCCCCTTCTCTGCCAACCCTTCACCCATTATTCCACAGAGCCGATGGGCTGTCCCGACTCTGCGTGTTTTCAGCACTTACCAATTCCTGGGGTACTTCATTAATCTGCACCTGTTTGTGTCCCTAAGTCATTTTCATGTGTATGCCCTCTTCTCAATTCAGCTTTATGTACCTGAAAGGCAGAAATAGAGGCTCTTATGGTTTTTGTAGTGGCCTTCACAGAGCCTGGTTCAATTCTTGCACACAACGAGGTTAATGGAATCAAGCAACTCCCCTCCCTTCCCCGGACACACTGATGTAAACTGCATGATGAAGGACAGACGACAGAGAGCCAAGGAGAATAAGCATTTGCAGGTGCTGTTCTTGTGGGAAAAAGTTGTCTTCAACACATGGTAGAAAATATTGCACCTATTGCGAAGAGTTAGACAATATCTCAGAGGTTTGCACTGGTTAGAGAGAAACTTTCCATTTCAGGGGCAGAGGACATATCAGGGAAGTCAAAGGGAAGGTGACATCTGAATTGAATTTTAAAAGATGGTAGTAACTGGGCATTTAGAGAGGGGAGGGTATTGAAAATTACAGAACAATGGAAACAAAGTCTTCAATGGGGTAACTGCAGTCAAACATGAGGAAGAGAAAACGGGCCCATTTGGTTAGGCACTGGATGCAGCAATTGAGCAAAAGAGAAATAATGTTTGAAAGGTGAATAAGGTCTAGACGTAGGAGAGCTTGAACAGCAGAACTTAGAGTTTGAAATCTAATCGGTAGACAAAGGGAAACCACAGGAGTTCTTAGTGTCAAAGAGCACATGATACGGTTTGGAAAAATTCAACTCCTTTACTATGGACAATAGGTTGAATGGGAACAGAGTGTAGGCAGGGAAACAAATTAGGAAGTTATTCTAGTAAATCAGAAAGAAGGAACAATGGTCTGAACCAGAGTAAGAGTGGAAGGTAGGGAAAGGTGGGGCGGGAGGTGGTGTTTGTGAGGGCTCCACAGAGAACAAATGCACAGGACTAAACATAGATGCCTATATGGGGGCAGGGGAAAGGAGGGAATGAATGCAAGGCCAAAATACCAAATCTGATGACTGAAAATGACAATAGCTAACATTTTGTGGTTGTATACCCTGTTCCATGTGTCATGTTAAGCACTTGATACATGCCTTAGCTCACTGAATCTTTATAATATTACGGCTGTGAAATAGGTAGCAGCTATGAAGTTAGATACTGCTATAAATCTCATTTCTAATTATGGCAATCAAAGCAACAAAAGGTAAATAACGAGTCCAAGTACACTCAGCTCTAAGTGACAGATCTGAAATTATGAACCCATGAAGTTAGGCTGCTCAGTCCACAGGCTTAACCATAAGACACAAATGTAGAGTCAAACACAGAAATGATAAACATGGACACCAAGTGAGTAAGGGGTGATTGGACAGAAGGATTCCAAGAACCATCATGGAAGACAAAACAAAAACAAAAACAAAACCAAAACACTATGGTGGGGTCACCTGGGTGGCTCAGTCAGCTAAGCATCTGACACTTGATTTCAGCTCAGTTCATGATCTTGTAGACATGAGACTGAGCCCAGCATAGGGCTCTGTGCTGAGCGTGGAACCGACTTGGTATTCTCTCTCCTTCTGCCTCTGCCCCCCCCCCCAATTGCACATGCATTCTGTCATACAAACTCTCTCAAAACATGGAAACACTGAAGAACATGGGATAGATTCAACCAGGAAGATGCAATAATAACTGGTCCCACAAATTGAATGTTAATTGTCCCAGGTAACGCACAACACATTTTAGATACTTTTCCTATTGAATGTATGTAAATGCATTATGAAGTAGGCACTATTATTACTATTCCCTTTTTACAAATGAAGAAGCTGAGGATCCGAGTACTTTAGTAACTTGCCTAAACTCACACAGGTCCTACACAAGGCTGCTAGGAATTGAACCCAGGGTACTGTGCCAAAGCCTATGCTTACAGCCTTAATGCACGTATGCCCAAGGTTGACAGCTGCCAATAAGAAAGCGGACTCAGTAATAGCCATTTATATAGTGACTAAGATGTAGTACTGATCACAATTCTTCAATCTGTGATATTTTTGTGAATTTAAAAACAGAGATTCATTGGGGCACCTGGGTTGCTCAGTCAATTAAGCGTCCATCTCTTGATTTTGGTTTGGGTCATGATATCATGGTTCATGAGATCAAGCCCCACATCAGGTTCTGTGCTGGGCATGGAGTCTGCTTAAGATTCTCTTTCTCTCTCTCTCTCTCTGCCCCTCCCATGCTCTCTCTCTCTTTCAAAATAAATAAACTGTAAAATGTAAAAAAAAATAAAAATAGAGATTCATTAATATGAGCTGCAGGACCACAGGTATATATACTGTAACTATACCAGGAAAGTTAGGATGTAGGGAGGCCCTACCAAGAGGACATGGGCATTCGTTAAAAGAACAGTGTTTGCAGACCTGTGAGAATAGAAGCCAGACAGTCCTGGACTGAGGAGAAAATTGAAGATGAGGAAGAGGAAGAATTGACAATTACATGTCTTCTTCAAAAAGTATGAAGATGTAAAGAAGCAGCCAAAGAGGGAGACTGGGAACTGACTGTTGCCTGGGCTGGCATGTGGGCACAGGATGGACACCCAATATATATCTGAGGGCACACTATCAGAGACAAAGAAAGGGGCTGTTTTTGTTTATTTTGCTTTGCTATTTTTTTTATCATTTGTTCTCTAAGAGGAATATTGACCATATCTGTGAGCAGAAGGGAAGGACCCAGAAGGAGTCCTTTAGTGAGAGAAAGAGCATGCACAAACATGCACGTGCAAGTAGCAGAGGGGCAGAGAGAGAGAATTCCAAGCAGGCTCCATGCTGTCAGCACAGAGCCCAACAGGGGACTCAGTCTCATGAACCATGAGATCATGACCAGGTCTAAAATCAAGAGTAGGATGCTCAACCGACTGGGCCACCAGGCACCCCAGAAATTAATTTTCTTAAAGAGATAATATGATGGCCAAAAGATATATAAGTGTGAACGAGACAGCTATGTAGCAAGAATTGCCTAGCTCCCTGGTTAAAGACAAGTAACAGCCAAATGCACTCTAGACCTCACTTAGTAAGTAAAGATGGGGTGTCTACTGAGTGTCTGGCACCTGAATAAACACACTAGTATAAGTTGGGCCCTTCCTTGCAGAGACTTTTCAAATACAATGGTTATCTCAGGATGAGGGACCCGGCAGCGTGGCAAAGCCCCCGGACTAAGCCGAGAAAGCTCTGCTCCCAGTCAGATCACTGGTTAGCTTCACTTTGAACTAGACAGTCTTCCTTTCTGTCAAGAGGGAAACCAAACCAGAATCAGTGATTCAAAAATGCTTATAGGTTTATACAGGAATATGATGACAAATCCTTTATTTTTTATTTAATTGAATCACAGTATATTACCAAGTACATGTAAAAGATGGACAGCTTGCTGAATTTTCACAAAATGAGTAGATTAGTATAATGTCACCTGAATCAGCACACAAATACTACTGGCACCCTAGAAATGGGCCTTACCTCATTCCCTTCCAGTCTCTCCCTAGACCCTCCCTATCTATCTCTTGATGATAACCCACTGCCCAGACTCTTATCAGCAGAGATTAGCTCCACCTGTTTATATCACTTCTAAAAATGGAACTATACAGTATGAGCTATTTTGTGTCTGGCTTCTTTCACTCACCATTAGGTTTATGAGATTTATCTTTATTGTAGAGTGTCATGTTGAAGAGTTTAGTGAGGCATGTTTTAAATATAAGAAAAAAGTAAGAAAATAAAGTCTGTTTTTCATAAAGCTAAATTTATTCAAAATAAATTACTGTCATTTAATTTGAGATGATGTGCTTCCATCCTTTTGGTGATAAAAAATGTTCTTTTTGGAAATCTTTTGTTGACTGCTGGAAGTTTGGTTTTGATGTTTTATTTATTTTGCTGTTTTTGTTATTTTATTTTAATCTTAAACTGATACCTTGTCAAAGTCAGCCCCAAATTATACTCAAAATTTTGATCAGGTCTTGAAATCCCCAAGCTTGGGTTCCACAGGGCAAGGAGTCCGTATATTCCCTGGCTCTGCGATTTATAGCCCAACTAGAATCTCTGGGCTTTGGTTTTGCTTTCCTTGATTGCCAACTCCTGTGGGCAGATTCCCAGAGGTGCCCACAAAAGCCACAGATACCAATTATTGATGTACTTTGACAAGAATAAAAAGTGGGAAAGGTGTGTTTTTTTTCATGCTTGTCATCCACAGTTATAAATAACAAACAAGAGTGTCAATTTCCCTAAGTAACAATAGGTCAGATTGAGTTTTATCAGAAGTGCTTAAAAATTGCCAGAAAGTCTGGAGTAGTAGGGGATCAATGACCCATACGCAAGAAAGAAGAGGACAAAGATAACAAGCATGAGATTTCTATGCCCCAGTGAATTTCTGGACAAGGAAAACGTGTGCTGGGCTGGTGATCCTTACGGAAAGCCTCATCACCAGAAGTAGATTCTAAAACAGATGCTAGTGGCTCCTAGCATGTATTCAACTAACAAATATGAGTTACTTAATTCCCTAGAAAAGAGGATAAAACCAAGCATACCAGTCAGAGTTGGAATAGCATATGTGATTGCAAACAAGCATCACATACATGCTCACACACATGAAGAGAAAGAAAAGAGAAAGGGATCCCAGTACACTTGGTTCTTAAGGGATAATTGTCTGGTGGAAGTAATGGCACCTGTGATGGAATCCTCCATTGAGATCTATTCAAAACAGAAGCTTCCTGAAGGCAGAATTCAGACCTCCCTTCCCTAAGGGAGTTCAAGTACATATTCAGCTTCTGTCCCTTAAAGAAAGCCATTATGGGATAACTCTAGTTTTAAACAAAATCAGTTTGTGGCTCCGTTTGCATTACCAGTTGTGAAAAGATACAGCACCCAAATTATTGCAGCTAGATGGTTACTCTTTTGCAACTGAGATGAAAGACATTTTAAATACAGTGTTTAGAAACTTATGTTATATAAGACACACACACATAACATGATATGTACATTTGTTTCTAGAAGAAAAAAATAATTTGTTTCTTCCTTGTTAGCATTCAACACTTTCCTTCCTACCTCTGTTTCTGTAACGTAGTCACCTC